GAGAGACAGGGAGAAAAGGAGTCGAGGCAAAGGTGGTCTTACCGCCGTAAATGCCACTGGTTGGCATTATGCCGCTTGCTTGGCCAGACCTTCGATGCATCGAACACATCTTAAGATGCCGCCTGATGATGAGTGCCTGTGGTATAATCGTGATATCGTTCTTTCATAGAACAACTATCGGGTGCTTCGAGGGGAATTTCGTGTTGCACGAGCCACGGCGACGGCCCTGGCCCATTTACCCTTAGGCTAAGCTGGGGTCGCCACACGATGCGGACGATATTGGCCTTTCGAAAAACTTTTTTACGCCCGCTCACTCGCGGATGGTTAAGTGCGACGCGCGAATATATTCGCGTGCTCGCTCGAGAAAGGTCGGCGGTTATCGAACGGGGAGATTCCTTTGTCGCGTGAATAGCACATTTTCGAGCCGAACATGGATGGCTGATGGCTCGTTGTCGTGAATATATACCGAGATCGACGATGTAAAACTGGTGAATGCAACAGGATCGAGCGAAGATAAATCCGACATTCGTCGTGTCGCACTGGCAACATCATTTTCTTCTCGATCTCTGTCACGGATCGTCGATCTTTGCCAGATGGAGAACGGCTTGTAATCGGCTCAATGGCGTGTACGATAGCGCAAGGTTGAACGTTACGCGCGAGACCGAGCAAGGCTGACTGTCCCGAGGCAAAAGGGAAACACCGGGGGATTTTCGAAAGTCGATCAGACGCGGCGAACTGCGAAGAAAATTCGGGAGAATCCGAAGAATGTCGAATTAACCTCCGATCCTGTTCAGCGTGGCTTATCGAGCGTGATCTTGGATAGGACAGCCAGATCGCGTGTTATTCCAGTCAACTATATGACTATAAACGGACACGCGGCAGTACCCCCGACTCCCATAGGAATAGACAAGTCCAAGCAGTAGATACCTCGTAAGGTGAACGAACCTCCGAATCTCCTGGACACGAGAAAAAAAGAAGGAGAACCGCCGAAAAAAGAGGCGACCACAGCGGGAGAGGATGGAGTAGGTAACGAGGAGGAAAGAGGCCGAGATGGCGGAGGTGGAGCAAGAGGAAGAGAGGAGAAGGAGGAGAAGAAGGAGAAGGAAGAGGAGGATGAGGAGGAGAAGAAGGTGTTGGAGGAGAAGGATGATCGTGGAT